AAATATGTCCATATAGTTCTTGATAAGACACCTGTGAGTGTCAAAACATCCGAGAAAAATAAAAAAATTCATATTTAATTAAATGCTCAAAACAAAACGTTTAGTTAATCATTCAAGTAGTGATTAGCGTGCATCCTCCAAACAAAAAGGTATAGTCGTATTTAATTGTTTTCCTTTCGTTCTTTCGTTCTCTTAATCTTCTCTAGGGAACCAGCTAGTAGTTTTATTTTTATTTTCTAAGCCGTTGTGAACGGTTCTTTCTCAAGTAACGCCAGACGTAATCCGTGGTGTTTTGAGTTCATGTTCCGCAAGCGTCACAAGTAGAGGAATATACTCACATTAGTGTAGTCTTTCACCATTTCATTTCTATTTTCAACGTTTAAACCCAAACAGCTATCAAGAATTAGTCTTAGAGATGCGCATTTGACCGGATTTAGGGGATGGTCAGGAAGGAACATATCACTTTATTGTACRATCCCACTTAGAGATAAATATACTAGAGCTGATAATATCTACAAAGGAAGTTTGTTCTACTCTTTAAGTTCTCAAAAATAAACTGACAGAAAAAAACAAACCTCCTTGTTTTTATTAAGAGGCGGCGAAAGCTGAAAATCTGCATTGCAAAAAATCACAACAATAACTTAATAWCAGTAATAAAAATCGAAACTAGGCCCCCCCGGTTCCGCCGCCCCTGTTATTAAAATGCGTCTTTATTCCATTCAACTTCAACCGAAGCACGAAGTAAACGTTCAGCTAGGGTATTGGAATGAATAAAAAATGGCGGGAAATATTCACGTGACCAGCCGGTACCTCTAACAACTCTTTCGGTCTAGGTTTTTTGAAAAAAAAAAAGATTTGAAACTGGCGGGAAAAGATCACGTGATCTGCTTCTATCTGACAACTGATTGGTGGGCTACATTTTTCATTTCTGTGTGTAAAWAAGTTATTTGAACTAAAGATTCTAAGAAAATGTTGCAAATGATGACCGTGACCTTCCAATTTCTTTGATGACTATGCCCGCGATATGACTCTGCCAATTATTCGCCTAAGGCGAAGTGAATATCGGGGAATAATAACCGAAACGAAGTTAAGATAAAAGACACATTTTTTCCCGGTAACAGCAACAAAGATTATAAAAGATTGGATTATCGCTGGAGGTGATTATCGTGTGATAGTGTGAGTTATTTTTCACTAAAACAACATTACTATCAAAATGCTTTTTATCAGTGTAATTAGAAGCAAAAGAACAAGTATGTTAATAGCTCCATCAACAGCAGATAAGCGACAAAGCGATAAGTATATCGGACTTCTACAGGACAGTTAATGATTGATTGTATATGACAAACTATAGTACTTGTTCCGTCACACTGTTATTGTCATACAACACACGCTAAAAGGCCCTGTATCTAGCAAGATACCAAGGCTCTCCGCAATAAATTGTTTTAAACTCCCAAAGGATCAGTAGYATAGTGCTGTAGATTCGATTATCACTTTGTTGAGTAGTGAACTGAATAATAGCATTAATTACTACCCAAAGTTCCCAAATACTTTCCAGAAGGTAGGAACGTCGTATTGGAACGTTATTTTATTCCTACCAATAAATGTATTTGGTAATCCCCGTCTGAATTTTAAGATATGGAACTGACGTGGGCCAATAGTATCGTACCTTTACTAGTTTATGTGAGATAAATGCTAAACTACTGCGCATGTGCAAAAGCGTGCACGATGGTCAAACAACATTCCCATACCCAGAGTTCCTCGGCTTCGTTCCTATCCCATAAAAGAAACAAAACCGAGGAGCTCTGGGTACGAGAATCTACAAACGAAGATTTTCGTTCATTCATTCATTTATTGCTTTCGTTTTTGTTTTCGTTTTTTYGCCATGAATTTTGAAACTCATCTCACGAATTATAAAGCAGTTTAAAAATTCAATGATCTTAAATTTCYAAAGAGCCTGTTTTATTACGAGCTTCTAATGAATAATTTCTTCATTATACGCGCGCACAACGCATCATTAAACCAGGTCTTCACACATTTGTCATAGTATTTGTCCTACATGTCAAGCCAAACTGTGTCAGATAACCTTCAAAACACAAAACAAATAGCGTAGAATTGTACTTTTTTGTGTATAAGCAAACAACCTTTACCAAGTTTACTTTGGACGTGTTAAAATTTAATTTAAGCGATTTAAAGTGCACATGAACCCTTCGACAATACTTTCAGTACTGATTCTACATGAAGTAAATAGTTGAATGGTAAAATATTTCTTGATTTGAGTGATGCGTTTCTAAGTTATGAAGGTTTATACTTTCAATATGCTAATGAGCGTGACGTCTATTAAGGCTTAATTAAATATACAAAATCGAACTGGTTCATAGATACAGTATTTAAAAAGCATCATTATTTTACTCATGGTTTACATRAAAGCTATTTAAAATTTTTATTTTCAAAATGGCCAGCATTTAGTATTACTAGTTACAACAAAAACACTCAAATACCTTACCTGACGTCATCATCATTTACATATTGGAAGTRTAAACCTTCATAACTTAGAGACGCATCACTTAAATCAAGAAATATTTTACCAATCAACTATTTACTTTATGCAGAACCAGTACTGAATGTATTGTCAAAGGGTTCATTTGCACTTTAATTAAAGATAGGGATCGTGCTTTATCACCGACGATTGGAGGTGAGACTTCGTCTGTCGTTCCTTTTTCCTTCATTGCCTTTGTCATTGCTAGTTTTACCTATTTAATATTGTTTATCTTAACTTAGTTTATATATAGCCTATTATTATTGTTTGTATTTTAGCGATATTTCTATTGTTATCATATYTAACATTATATTTGATTTTCTCAATATATTTATTATTATTTATCTATATTATTATCAGGCTAATTCTAATTTCATTAATTTAATCTTATTTTAGTATGGGAAAAAAATATCTTTTAAATGTCGTAATATTCTATTTTACASTTCCATTCGGTGATAACAAATAATAGTTCCAAGTTGAAGTTGGAGTTTCTGCTCATASCAAAACTATAGCTTATCACGCGCAGCAACTCCAGCCTCAGCTTGGAATTCTTGTTTGTGGTCACTGAACGGAACTGTAAATTGGATTATTTGATGTAACATTTCGTTTTTAAGCATCAAACTCTGTTTATTTCTTTGATGTTTTTTGAGGATTTCTTATAATTTCGGGAGCAGACAAAATGATTTAGTTTGCTTAGTATCAGCTATAGTTTCTCGAATCTTCTCACAATCAAAGTCAGTTTCGATCTGTCAGAACCGATATGTTGTTTTTTATTCTTTCATTATATCCGGCATCGAAAACAGACCAAAAAAAGCACAGATAAGCAATCATATAAAACCAGCACCGGCAAACTACCAAGTCTTAATTTGCCCCTTGTTTGGAAAACTCGTGCAGGGATTGGCAGAACCAGTAGACAATCTTTGGAGGACCAGCACTTCAAAAGRTTGGTCTGTGGTAGGTAGTTTTACGAGTGTCGATAAATTTTGGGTATGTGTTGAGTGYCGCCGCTCAAGGTTAGTCTGTGAAGACCATTCGAGTTCTGAAAAATCGAAAATTAACGGGGCTGGTACAATTTACGGAGGAACGACATTTTCAACATTTTAAGTACTTACCGCCAAATCTACATCTGTCCTCGAAGCAGAAGGTTCTGGAAGTTCATCTGGAAGCAAGGAAATTACTAATATTGATAAGGTATATCTAAGCTCTTAGGCTACCGAACCGTCCTCATTTTCTCAACAAATCGCGGTCATCTATACTCTAGCCAATCAGCTTTACATCTTGCCTTCACATGCTGTTGAAAATTACRTTAAGAAATTACCGCCTTATGCGGTATTTATAGTGAAACTTTCGGATGGACCAACATATTTAATACCCCAATCAATCTTGTCGACTTTAGGACTTAATCACCATAATAATACTGAGTGGAAGAAAATATCAACAACTATCAAAGGAAAGAAGCGACGGACTGAACTAGAAAAAAGAAAGTTAACACGGCTCGGTGCAATATGCGTTTATAGTACGTGAGATTGTATACATAACGTCTATATTATGAATAGAAACTATTGGTTTTGCTACACTAGCATAAGGCTGAATTTGATGGGTATGTATTTTAAGTTATGGCATTTTCATTTGTCTTTTTTGTTTTTTATTTTAGAGTTTGAAAGTCATCTTGCACCTAAATTTTTAGTCCAGTGTTCAGTGATTACATAAGTTTGGACTTGAAAACCCCATTTAATGCATCATAACAATTTARATAGTTGTAAAGTATGATAACCTCCTAGTGTTAATTGAACAAAACCAGGCGAAAGTGCATGCGGATAAAACCCTTGAAGTGCTTATGGTTCGAGTGTCTTCGATGTAAGATATATTGAAAGATAGTTGCACTAGAAAAGATCTTTCGTGAAAAACTGAACGATCGGGTGGCTTACAGTTTTCCCGTGCTTCTCTGATTCGTAACTTAAAGTGCTTATCACCCTTCTGACAATATTCACAGTATTGATTCTACATGGGGTAAGATGTGGAATAACCTGAATAAATTCCATACTTTGAGTGCAGCTTCTTGAAGTTATAAAGGTTTTTCCAAGTYATATGCTAATGCTGTGACGTATGAGCAGGCATTTATGGTTATTTGTTGTTAATGTAATTCGAAACACCGGCTTCTATGTGAAAACTAACTTGCAATAATTTCTATAAGAGCAATGGGGAAAACAATGACGGATTTTAAATGTAATCTATCTGTACCAGTAATATTTTGTATATKAAATGATTACGTCTCATACCTCACAGCATTAGCATATGGAAGTTGCACTTAAACTATACAATTTTTTAGTGCTATTCAACATCTTACCCCATGTAGAATTATAATACTGTGAATATTGTCAAAAGGGTGATAGGCACTTTTACATTCGGTAATGGTTTTCAATTAGCAGTTTCATATGCCATAACTTTGAAATGGCTTTCTCTCGGGAAGTATTAATTTCTCTATTTTATAAAATATTGCAGGACCTCTATGGGGGAAAAAACCACTTCGTATTGATTAGAGCTTTATGAAAAAATGTTATTATTCGGTTATTGTAAACATCGAAATGAGTACAATATAATGTAACATTGAAATAGCTTCCTAAGGTGATACAATGGGAATTATTTCACTTAAAAACTCGTAGCATTAAATTGGCTTTCTAAGATATTGGGAATCACTTTACTAAAGTCTATTCGTAGCATTGAAATGGCTTTCTAAGATATTGGGAATCACTTTACTAAAGTCTA